ATATGTTTTCATGGTGTGGGAATAAGACTTGGTGGTCTAATACAGCTAATATGTAGGTAGGTACTAATATGTTGTTCCTGTTTTGAAGGAAAAAAAACTCAAATGTATCATAAAAATTATTTGGAAAAATTATGTCCTAAACTTTAAAGTTTATGAGAGTTTTGTCAGAAGTGTACTCTCTCATTTATCAGTTCCTTATATGAGTAAATTTAAGGATCTGAATTGATTGCATTAAAATTTTGTTGGGTTGTTGGATTTCTGTCTAATCTCAATATCTATTATATAAATATAACCAATTTCTATATAATATAAATATAGTATAAAACAGTGATCCTTTTTATACACCCTTTTACGGTATGTATTATGGTATATTGTTGTCCATCCGTTGTCAACATGTCGGACAATAACTCAAAAACACTTTAACCAATTTGCATGAAACTTTGGTGAATTGTTGATATCTATTGACTTGAGTCCCCTTTGGATATTTATAAATATTAGATTTTACTTTTCCGAGTTATGGGGTTTTATTCATTAAAAAAGGGGGATTTTCCAATTTTCGGACAATAACTCAAAAATTCTTTGAGCAGATTTCATGAAACTTTGGTGAATTGTTTATATCTATTGACATGAGCTCCCTTTATATTGTTATAAATTTTAGATTTTATGTTTCCGTGTTATGGGATTTTATTCATAAAAAAAGTGGGATTTTCCAGTTTTCAGACAATAACTCAAAAGTGCTTTGAGCAGCTTTTATGAAACTTTGGTGACTGTTTTATATCTATTAAAATAACATCCCATTAGTTTTTTTATAGATTTATGATTTGACATTGAAGAGTTGTGGACTTTTATTCTTTGAAAATGCGACAGGCGTATCATGCGCTCATGGCACAGCTCTTTATTAACAATTTTGAATGACAAAGCATTTTATATTTCAGGTTGGCATCACAGCTTGTCTGTAAGGATTGAGGCTGGAAATGGCCATTGGAGCTGACTTTTATGGTAAGAACCAATACAAAGATTTATGAACTATTCATCTAAGAGCATATAAATGCCTCTAGATTTTAATTATGCACAAATGTAGATCTAATATTTAAATGTTTCTCCAAGGTATAATTGTATATATCATCTGGAAGGCGGCACTTCAATACTTAATTGATAGGGGGTGCCGCTGGGGTTCTGTTACCCCACCCTTTTCATATAATTTAGATTTTAAAAATGTATACCTTTTCATATATTGCTTAGGTAAAAATGTTACCTTTTCCCATATTGTTTGGGTTTCATGTGGTGTGCAATGTAGGAGTGGAATACCAAAGTGTCAACCATTTTCAAAAGAGAGATACACCAAAAAAGATGACAGACGAAGAAGTTATGGGAACTTTATTGACCTTATCATATATTTCTGAAAGTTTTCTCGACCTATCACATATTTTGAAGCTTGAAAAGGTGGCTTATTCCAGCAGCATGTCCTATCACCTTGTATATAGGAAGTGCCCCCCCCTTTCAACAAATACATTTTGATTATTCTTTTGCATGAAATATTGTTTTAATTTTTTTATACTTTTGACAGCTATGTTTATGAATGTGTATTTCTTTTTCAGGTTACTTTTACTGTGGCTGCATGTATGACTACATGATGTAACTGAGTAACAGTAAAGAATGTAAATCAGACAATTTTTGTGTATGTTTGAGAAATTGTTTATAATTTTTTACAAAAAAAAAAAAAAAAAAAAAAATAGTGTAAAGATTCTCCATTTTCAACAAGACTGGAAGTTATTGGTTATGGATACTGAACTAGTTTTTGGTATGTAGTTTTGTAATGATGAGTTCATACTTTAGATCTCAATTATTATCCCCCCCCGACCCCCCCCCCCCCCCATGTGTGACTAGATTTAGTATGTACTTTGAAATTGAATCAAAAAGGACCAATTTTACAATTTTACTCGAAGATCTACTTAATATATATTAGCAATGGTCAGTGTCTAATCAAAACACTTCCAGTAGGTTAAGAATGGATAATCTTCAAAAAAAAAAGAAAAAGAAAAAAAAACCAAATGTTACTTTTATTGAATTGTATTTATTGGGTTTCCTGAATTATTAGATATATATATTTTCCACTTTTTTGTTATTTTTATCTGAATTTAACAAAGCATAACTTTTTTTTTACAAATATTTACAAGAGGCATAGATAACCCACATCTTGTTGAACTACATTGATTGATTAATTTTTTGTGTTTAATGCCACCTGGAGCACTATTAGCTATATCTTGATGGCCATTTTTAATTATCGGTTAAGGAAGCTGGAGTAACAGGAGAGAACCACTGACATTATGAAGGAAAACTGGCTATCCTAGTCAATTAAGACCAGAGTCAAACCTACCACTTGCGGGGTTGGAACTCTCAACCTCACATGTTGACATGCCAGTGATACCGTAGTTGAACTACTTAGAAAACTCAGCCACCAAGGCCCCTAGGTAAAAATTAAGTACAAAATGTACTTAATGTGTTATAGAAATGGGTTGGATTTTTGTTATTAAATTATTTTTTAATTATACTCTTTTGTATTTTTGTTAAGCATAGCAAGGATGTAGAGTCCTAACAGGGTGAAATTTAGGTCAAAGGGAGGTAATTTTTTATACCCCTGTTAAACTCCACATACTTGAAATTCCCTCAGTGTTAGGTTTTTTTTAACTTGGATATTCACATTTGTATATATTTTTTTTCCAATATCAGATGTATACTATCTAATATCAACTATTATTTAGAGCTCTGTAAAAAAAAAAAAATTGTAAGCAGAGCTCTAGATAATAGATATCTTGGGTGGGAGAAATTATGGGTCACTAAAAATAATTTGGTGAAATTTTTCAAAAAAGTTATTAGTTGAAAGTGCATCTGATATTTATTTTTGTATATATAACTTTATTTCAAAAACAAATGAACAAAAATAGATTGGCACTGAAAAAAGGACAGCCACCTTGTCAGCCAAGAGAGCAGCTCCATGGAAGATGGTTCAATAAATCTTCAATCAAGTCTGAGGCGTTACCAAGAAAATAATCAGGCAAGTTTAATCAAGCCAAACAATTTATATACATTCTCTAGAACTTCTGATTAGAATACACCATTGCGGAATTCATTTTAAGTTTAATATATTAAGATACCAGGTACACGAACAAAATTTCTTATTGGAATAACAGTAGAAAATCCTGAGATGGAATAAAACTTCAAGGGGAGACTAGTACAATTTAAAGCAAGTTTTTTTTATATTCAATGGGAGATAACTCTGTAAAATATGCAGATAATTTTTGTGCAGTTGAGATTCAAATCATTAATCTTTGACTTATTTTTTTGTTTTTCCATTTCATATTCATTTTACAAACTGGTGTTGATAGTAAATTTGAGGTTGACAGAGAAATGGATTTGTGATAAATATATAATGTCAATTTTAATTTCTATTTTAGTTCTTTCTGAGACATGTTTTCATGGTGTGGGAATAAGACTTGGTAGTCTAATACAGCTAATATGTAGGTAGGTACCAGTATGCTATTCCTGCTTTGAGAAAAAGAAAAAAAAATGTATTATAAAAAATATTTATAAAAATCGTCCTCTAGGCTTGAAGGTTTATAAGAGTTTGGTCAGAGGTCTACTCTCTCTTTTATCTGAGTACCATTATATTGAAGTAAATTAAGGATCTTAATTGATTACTGTAAAAATTTGTTTGGTTGCTGAATTGCTGTCTAATCGACATGTTTTCAACATCTATTACTTATATATATTACCCATTTCTATATAATAAATAGTGTATGATCCTTTTAAACAATTTTTAATGATGAAGCATTGTATATTTCAGATTAGCATCACAGCTTGTCCGCAAGGATTGAGGCTGGGAATGGCCATTGGAGCTGACTTTTATGGTAAGAACCAATAAAAAAATTTATGAACATTCATCCATTTTTATTATAAATAAGATGTAGTATGAGTGCCAATGAGATGTTACTCTCCATCCAAGTCATAATGTATAAAAAGTAAACAATTATAGGTCAAAGTACGGCCTTCAACACAGAGCCTTGGCTCACACCAAACAGCAAGCTAAAAAGGGCCCCAAAATTGTGCACACATATCTTACATTTTAATATTTTCTTAAGTTATAATTATATATATAATCTAGAGGGAGGTATCAAGATAAATAAGGGAAGTCAAAACTTATGATTAAGGAAATCTTATCTCTGTCTTTTTGTTATTTGAAAAATGTCGCCATATATGAAAATAAAGAGATGTGGTATGATTGCCAATGAGACATTTTATTAATCAAGAGACCAAATGATGTGGATGTTAGTTGCTAAAGGTCACTACATCCTTCAACAATGAACAAAACCTGTACTGTATAATAAGCTATAAAGACCCCAACATGACAAAATGTGAAACAAATCAAATGAGAAAACTTTTGCCTGATTAATGTTGAAACATTGTTGAAAATGTTGAAAATTCAAAATAAATTTGACAGACAGCAACCAAAGATTATCATTATTTGCTAATTAAGACGTACTGTACATTCAGAAATTATTGCAAGGTTTTTATTTATGTGAATAATGCGACTGGTTGAGTATCGCAATAATCAGAATTCGTATTCTGATATCTAATACATTTATCTTTATAAAGATTTTCCTGAAATTGCAATAATTAATCTCGCATTTTTGTTCATTCCTTAAAAATCGCAATAATAAATGCACGCAATAATTTCTGAATTTACAGTAGTAAAACATATAGTTAACAAATCACTTTGATTATTCTTTTGCATTAAATATTGTTTAAGTTTTTATATTGTTTTGACAGCTATGTTTAAGAATGTCTATTTCTTTTTCAGGGAACTTTTAACTGTGGCTGCATTAAATGGCTGTGTGATATAACAGTAAAGAATGTAATTCAGACAATTTTTGTGTATGTTTGAGAAATTGTTTATAATTTTGTTACAAAAAAAAAAAAAAAAAAAAAAAAAAAAATTTGTAAAGATTCTCCATTTTCAACCAGATTGGAAGTTGTAGGTTATTAAACTTGTATTTTAAATTTTTTCCATTTTCGCCCCATGGGTTATTCCGATAGCTCTGCTCATGTCCATTCTTGTCTTGACATTTTTTTGTCATGCATATGGATAATGAACTGATTTTTGACCTACTTTAGATGTATTGATTATGGTCATTGTCTTAGTCCAAACACTTCCAGTAGGTTAAGAATGGATAATCTAAAAAAAAAAAAAAAAAAAAAAAAAGAAATAAAATGTTATCTTATTGAACTGTATTTTTTGGATATATATCTTGTAAAATTTTTGTTTTTTAATGGTGAGTTTGTAATGAAGCATGAAAATTTTAAAGAATATTTTGCAAAAGCATGAGTTGAAGAATATTTTGGTGAAAATACATTGATTGATTGATTTTTGGTGCTTAACACCTCTTTACATACAATTGGCCATCATGGCCCATAGGTGAAAACTAAAGTACTCAATATGTTATTGAAATGTGTGGAGTTTTGTTATTTAATTATTTTTTAATTTTAATTGTGCTATATTTTGTTTTTTTTGTTAAATATAGCAAGAATGTGGAGTCCTAACAGTGTGAAAATTTAGGTAAAGGGAAGTAATACCCCTATTTAACTCATCGTATTTTCTTTGAAATTCCCTCAGTAATAGGGAATTTAACTTATTATGTACTTTAATATTGATATTTGTATAATTTTTTTTTTTAAATATCAGATGTATACTCGCTAAAATATACTATTATTTAGAGCTCTGTAAAAGAAAAAAAATGTAAACAGAAGTCTAAATAATAGATATGTAGGGTGGGAGAAATTATGGGTCACTACAAATCATTTTGTAAAATTTTCTAAAAAGCTGATTATTCAAAAATGCATCTTATATTTTTTTATATGTATAAATGTATTAAGAAAAACAAATGGACAAAATAGATAGATGATAAGATGAGGACAGCCACCATAACAGCCAGGAGAACAGCTCTAAGGAAGATGGTCAATTAAATCTTCAACCAAGTCTGAGGTTTTACCAAGAGAAATATGTGGTAAGTTTAAATATTCCACAAATGTCAACTTCATTACCTGTCATATTTTTGTTTTGAAACATTACAACCATAATCATTTGTATTACAGTACTTGTATTTATTTGTTTTCCACCTTTGGTATCAAGTTTATATATTGAAGATTATTATACTGTAGATTCATTTGTTTTCCGTAGGTACCAATTTTTCATGAATTGAGGAAAAATTGTATTTTCATAGATATTTAATTTCACGATTTTGCTGGTCTGCAAAAAAGCTGATAGGAAATTTGTACTTTGTGGAACACTTGAATTCTGGGTTCACCTTTACCGACGACATGCAAGAAAGTTGGTATCCCATGAATAATTAGGATTCCACAGTATTCAACAATTTTGTAAAATATAAACTATAGTATGATTTTGTTAGTCTTCTTAGACATAGGTTGATCTGTAAAACACGTATATTTTCTTATTTTATTTTAATTTTAGGTTGTTGTAATGACAATGTTTTCATGGTGTTGGGAGTAAGACTTGGATATCTGATACTGTTAACATGTTGGTAAGTATTCAAGCTTTTCATGCCCCCTGCGCTAGGTGAAAGGGGCATAAGTGTTACTTTTGACCGTCCATCTGTCACATTTTCGTTTCCACACACTAACTTTAGTCATCTAAATTTTATGAAACTAATACACAATGCTATTAGAACCAAAACTAGCAGACCGAGTTCAAATTTAGACAGTTGGTCACTTACAGTGTTAGATTTATGCCCCTTTCTAACATGGGAAATTGTCAATTTTTTTGTTTCCTCAATAGCAGTGACATCAAATGCTCTTAAAAAGTATTTCCATGTATTATAAGCAGGCTTCAGTGGGGGCGTTCTTTTATTTTGGAAATTTTTTTTAGTATTTAACATCAATTTTATAAAGGTTTTAAGTACCAAAAAAAAAAATTATAAACTATGATTTAATACAGGTTGAATATAATCTATTGCAAATTTTAAACCATGAGTTTATCATTCAGAATACCCAAATTTTTTCTTGTTATCCTAGTACTATTTTAAATTTATTATGATTAACTTTTTGTTGTTGAAAAGTTGAAAAACTGACCAACTTTTATTTTCCAGGTTAGCATCAGGTTTCCATAGGGATACTTCTTGGGGTAGTAATCAGAGCTGATTTAGGTGAGAATTTATTTATCAACATACAACTTAAACTTATTTATGTTATCTTATTGCCAATGTCCCTAGATATCTATACATCTATCCTAAATATATTTAAATATAAAATGTTGTACCTTTACTTTTAAAGTAGATATCTCATTTGATAAATGATGTACCTTATCAACCTTATCAACAGGTACCGAATAAGAGATATTTAGGGGAGATAACTCACTTTTTTTTAAAACCACTGCTGTCATAAAAAATGTATAACAGCTTTTCATTTAGTCTTGCTTTTTCATTATAAATTAAATTTCTACATTTTATCATGGAGAAAACAAATTTTGGATTGAGAGTCAATAAATTACAACCTGTCAACAACAAAATGATGTAAGTATGAAGATGGTCAAGTTTATCAATTTTTCAGAAGCTTCTGAATTGATCAGGTATTTTGGTTCTGCTGTTAAGTCCAAAAACTTTATTTTGGCGTACTGATTTTTTTTTTTTTTTACAATAGCTGCACAATTTTAATACCATTTATTTTGAAATAATAAATATAAGTAGCAAACAAAGAGTTTTTACATGCACTGATATCTTTTTATTTAATGAAAAATTGCCACATTTTTTTTAAAGACTCGAAAAGATTATTTTAATATTAAGTATTATCAATTGAAATTTAACTCTTTTTTTTCTTTTACAGTTGGAAGTGTAACTGTTGCTGCCTTGTTTGGTAAAATCCTGCAAACCATTGGATGAACTGTTGCTATATTTTTAGTAGAATCCGTAGACAGTTGTAATTTGAATTTCTAACAAGTTTTGTTTTTATTGCTGTATTGAGTTATCCAAATTAAAGATATATTTTTTCACTATTTTTACATGCATATAAATATTGTACTGTGATTGATGAAAAATAAAACTGAAATTATTTTCATTTGAAGGGTGCAGAGCTATGCCATATGGTTTGACAAAGTACCCATAAAACTTACATTAGTTAACATTATTTTTAAGTTCTGTACTGTAAGTCTTACAAGTGATTTGTGAAATGAATATACTAAGTCAAAAACCAATAAAATAGAACTTTGATGGCTAAACATAAATGCATTATTCAGCATCTGAGGCAACTCAAGTGAAAATAATTATACAGTTTTTGCAGATTGTTTTTTTTTTCATTTTTATGAGATGATTTTTTTGTTTCTCCTTCATCGTTATTTATATTTTAAGGAATTATTTAAAGGTTTGTTTTTTGAGGATTGTGCTCAACTTCTTAATTATTTACCATTTTTACCCCTAGGTTAATCAGGAACCTGTAAAGTAATATTTTCTTTGATTTTGATGGAAAATGGCTGTTTAATGTCCAGTGGCAAATAAAATGCATTTTAGGATGAGAACATGATTATGTGATATGAATTTAGACCCTGCTTTGTACTAGACTGAGACACTGAGCTAGATTTTTTAATGTGCTAGTTCACAAGGTAACAGTCTGCAGGAAGACATTTAACCCTACCCGGACACCTTATTCTGACTCGGATCCGACCAGTCTCTGCTCTTTAATTACTCCTAAATGCTGCATGCTTAGCAGAGGAGCAGCTATTATCAATTTTCTAGTCTTTGGTTTGACCCAGCTACGGATCAATTTCCTATGACCTTCTGCACTGGTGGCGAGCATGAAATGGTCAGTTAAAGAAGATTTATCTGTCTGTTTGTCCATCATCATCTCTCATCCACAGCTTATATACTATTGGAAGGTGTTCATTAAAACTTTCAGATTATCTTCTGTAACTGATGGCAGTGTGTATTTTATTTTTTTATCATAATAAAATTTAGAGGTTCCCAATAGAAATGAATGGACCTTCTAAATATTTTGATTAACTTTGGAAGAAATCTTTCTGTTCAAAAAGTTAATCATGTGAAGGATAGGATGGTTTGAATATTTTGTATAGTGTTTTTAATCTTGTTTTTAATAGTTGGATCTCATTATGACAAAATTTTCATAACATTAAAAAGAATTTAGAATAAATTTTGCTTTAAGACACTAATATATTACCACTGTAGCTTTTAATTAAACTTTATAAGGCTTTGCTGTAACAAGATTTGTGTTTTGTTTGGTTTTATATTATTTTAGTGGATTTTATGTGATTTTACTTGTTTTTATTGTCAAATCTTGTTACACCAAGCCTTTTCATGATTTAGTTTGTGTGGAAAATTAATAAATTTTGCTGATACATGCAATGCAAAATATCAATTTACATAATGAGATCTGACATTTTTATGCTTTTAACTCTTCTTGAAGGATGAAATAGAAAATAAATGAATTTAACTGTTGATGCAGTCCTTGAAGATTGACCAATGAAATTGCAAGCTTCATAGATGTTAGTTCAGAATATGCTGTAACTAAACCTATGATCATAATAGCTTTAAACCATCCTATCCATAATTATTCAAGATGACTGTAACAAGATGTAAGAAATGGAAAAAAATCCATTCTTCTATTGGAGAACCTTAAATTTAGAAGTGAATAAAAATGGTACACAATGTCGACAGATACTCAAGATTATTTGAAAGTTTAGGGGAAGTCCATTTAAATCTTTAATTGTGGTTTGAAGTTGCAGATGGATGAGCAAACAGATGATACACTTGCTCACTGTACGACATTTCCTAATGGATAAATCTGACTATGAAATAATTGCTTGGCACTAGTTATCCCCATACTTGGAAAAAGTATTTGTTTCCTTAAATGAAAATATATACCAATATATATTTTTTTTTTTCTATTTGGTATTAGATTAAAATTAAGATCCATTTCGTTACAACTGTGATCCGTTTATTTGGCAATCGCCATGGCCGTCAGCAGGATTTAAGAACATCCGTTGTTCGACCTGCTAGTCAAATGAGTTTTGTTAAAATATACTTTTTCACTTTTTGGTCTTTTGGAAAATGTTGTTTGTGCTGTATTTAGACCCCTCTACCAAGAAATTTGTTTTGCATGCACACGTATAAAAATTGCGGTTTTTATCCAATGCAATCATAGGTTTGAACGTTGTTTTCAATTTAGACTTATTTATATATATATATATATGTATATATGTATATATATATCCTACTTATATAGAAATTAAATAAGTTTGCTAAGAAATAGGCTGGAAAATGAAAAAATAAAACAGCTTTAGGTTAAATATGAAGAATTAAATGCAGTTATTTTTTTTCCAAGGTGATCTAATTTGTGGACAGATCAAGATTTTAAGTTTGTCTTAATTACCCAGTAAATTAGTTGAGTACACCTTAAAAATTAATTTATTTCATGTATTTTTCAATCTTTTTTAATTGTAGTTTATACCATAGTTTTCCTTTGTATTAGAGTAATGAGACAAACTGAGGATTCATCAATTTTATAAAATCTATATAAAAAAATTTATATGTTTGGTATTAAGTAATGGGAAGACTCACATTTTAATATCAAGCAAAAAAAGTCATTTTGATAGAAACTTATACAAAACTTAATAACTGTATCTCAAACCAGACATCTTTTTTTCTATAACAACCAGTCTGAGAAACTGGTCAGATAGAATCCTCAGTACTGTCATTTATTTGTAATATTGTAATATTTACCTAACCTATGATTCAGATGCTTTTCCTCCTTTTAATTATACAGTTAATTTTTAAATGGCATTGGCAGATCCAGGGAGGGGGGAGGAGATTGTAGAAGGCATATGCTCCCTTTTGTTTGCACAAAAAATCTCATGTTTCTGGCTGTTTATATGATTTTTTAGCATAAAATTGTCCCAAATTTTTTTTCACCTAGCTGTGTTTGGTGAATTATATACAATATTACAAAATTTCATCCCCTTTTAAAAAATCCTGGATCTGCAACTGACTGTGGCCAAAAGCTTAATAGTGACAATTTCTTTGATATTTATGCACACCTGATGAGGAGATTGTGTTTTGTTTCATTTGGGTATTTTGTATCATGATGCATTTTAATGAAATTAATTGGTAAATAAAATTTATTTGAGAAAACCCATCTTATATTTTATTTGAGTCTGTATGACAAATGAAGGGGGAAGAGGTTTCTGTGGTCATGGGTATGACAGATAATTTATATTCCCATCACTTGGTGTCTTGTCATTATCATTCTTTTAATTTTTTTGAAATTTTCATGAAACTTCTTGGCTATTTTAAACCAGACTTTACACAAATGATACTTTTGGCATTACTTTACAGAATTGTTCATTGGACTTGCTGATAACCTGATTGGCTGCAAATTCTTTTAATAGATCAAAATGCTTTTAAAAATGATATAATTTATTGACTTTTCTGTCACATGCAAAACATAGGGATACTGATCTATCAAGACGGTGAAAGAGCTGGATAATCCATATTTGGTATGCAGATGCCTTATGGTCTGATTTTAGTCTCACCTTGACTTAGTTAAAAAAGCGAGACATTAGTATGCTGTTTCCTGCGTTCAGTGGCGTCAACAATGTATTAGCTTGTGATTAGGTCAGTTTTATGGGGAACTACTAGTGGTAGGTCAATGATATTTGGTATGCAGTTGTATAAGCATTTGCACATCTCATTTCCATGGAGATTGTTTGGTCTTGTACCATCAGTCATGGTTCATTGAAAGTATTGCTATTGGCATTTTAAAATCAAAATAACAAAAAGGCGAGACATATCTGTGTTAACAATTTATTTCATCTTGCATATGACCATTGCCTTGATTCCATTTTTAAGGTTCAATAACCACTTATAAAGTGTATAGTGTTTTTACATGACTTGGACAGTTTTTATGTGTAATAAGGACCACTACATTTGGTATATAGATTGATTGCAATGTATACTTGTCCTTCTGATGCGGATCCAGGATTTTGAAAAAGATGTGGCCTCCAAACTATGCAGTGTTAGTAGTGGAACATATAAAAAGTATAATGTAATATGCACTTACCATATATATAGCTCCATTAGGGGACCTGGGCCAATGGTCCACCTCCTAAATCTGCCTCTGGTGGCATCAATTCATGATTCAGTGATTTATGTTTAGTTTTGGGACTAAGTATAAGTTTTTCCCAGGCTAATTCATAAAGTAATTTCTCAACTATATTCCATGGATAAAATGATTGTAAGGTGTACATGTCTGTCTGACCATGACCTTATTTTCATGGAATTTTTGGTCAACATTTAGTTTTTGTGACCCAGTAATATGAATAATAGGTCAACTTTATTTGGTGTACAGAATGATTGTAAGGTGAATATGTTTGTCTGATGAAGTAGACCTGACCTTATTTTAATGTTTTTTTGTCAGCATTAAATTTTCATAATGTCCCAACTATGTGAGTGTATAGAATGATTGTAATTGTGCATTTCCATCTTACAGGGTTTATTTGAAATTAACATTATTTTCATAGATCATTGATAATGTTTTTTTTCGAAATACCTGTATTAAAACCTTGGTCTTAAGGTAGCTGGGATGTCTAAATGTTGAAGATAGATTTTTCTTCTGTAAAAGACTTCTGGGTGAATTTACTTTCCAATTTCAATATGAAACTGGGGGTCACAGACTTTGTTTTTTCATTAAAATACATTGAAATTAACAAAATCACTTATTTAATATGGGTTGTATTTGGGAATTTTATTATTTTCCTTATTGAATTATCAAATAAAAATAGAAGTCACAGGCCTTATTTTCTTTAAATATCCAAAAAACACAAATTGTCCTATCAAATTCAAAATTATTATCTGCCCTTGATTTCAAAAAGATTTTTTCTGAAAAATTTAAATACACTTAAC